ACCCCTCTGTACAGTATTTTCACAATAAAAATTAGGTTTATAAAAAAAATATCTGGTATCATTCTCAGTTGTTGTTTTTTTTCCTGTTTGTAAATCTGCCACAAATACTTCATGATATCAACCATTAATATTACTGAACAAATTCTCTCTCTCATGCAAATACATAATCATACTTATCACAAAACTGATTAGAATTTAACTTCTAATGTGGATTTGCTTACAGAGAAAATTTGCTGCTCAGCAAATGCATAACTTAACTACTTAACTGGGGAGTTACATGTGCCATTATAAATGAATATATTTGAGTGTCAACTTTTATAATTCACCTTCTGGCAGGTTTGCTTTGCCCTGGAGACAAATCTATTCCTGGGACACTGATTGTGAGTTTTCTGCACCTGTCTAATGAGAGTCAGTCCATACTGTTAGTAATTCTATTGAACTGATGAAATGCGCTGGCTCAATGACCCACCTCCTCTCATCTCTTCTCCTGTTTTTACTCCATATTTGTGGCAAGCGTGGGTCACGTTTTCTTCAAATGGCAATATCCACAAAGTGGCAATATCTACTTTGAAAACAAAGAACTGCAAAAGAACTGAAAGACGCTTCAACATTTAGATATAAATGACCAATCCAGCTAAACAAGTTTGACTGGGAAACTATTTTAAATTTAAATCTGAATAAATCTAATTTTTCTTAAATCAAAGGGGATCAAGACTTGATTTTTGAAGCTCAGAACTCATCAAGTTGAATACAGAGGGCATTTGTCATTCAGAAGGGGTAGGGAAGAGGTGGGTCATACTCGAACTGCTTCTGAAAAATCCGTCCAACAGTTGCTTTCTTTAGTGACTTTACAGTTGGCAGTGATATAAAGACATGTTCAACCCAACACAGTTCTTGACTGTCTCTTGCCAGACCAGAGCTGATCTCCTCTGGCCCAGGCCATGCTTGAGAAATGTCAAGAAGGCCACAAGGACCTACACATCTCATAATGGACTTCTTTGTAAAGCTAAACAAATATTTGTCTCCAGCGTGTAAAGCTGAGCCTTGGAACTGGGTTTTGACACATATATTCCTATGCATCTGTACCTCCACTGCTTGCCCTCCTGGCTGGGCTAGCATCCTGGCTGGACCCTTGGGGCAGAGGCAGTCCCATGTAGCATAGGAGCTTGATGCAGCCTCTGTACATATTCGCTGTTAAAGACAGCTGTGCAGGACTGGGCCTCTATCCTCTCCTGGGATGTTGTCAATATTTAACCCACAGGCAAGAGTGATGTTCAACACTTGTTCACATTTTTAGAAACCATATACAACAGGGCATTCCAGGGCATGGGGTGATAATTCTAAGTAAGACTTAACAATAAATCATGGCTTAAAATGTAGTTAATGGGAAAGTGCAGGCATAAAGTAAAAGAGATCCTTACTGAGAGACTGGGGACCTTGACTTACCTTTGTTTCTGTCTCAAGTTCAAGTTCCATGAACATGAGCAATATGGTATACTTTGAGTTTTAATTTTCATTATTGTTTTTTGTGCCAGTACTGTAGCTAGAACTTAGGACCTCATATTCTTGCTTGGTTTTCTTGCTTACAATTGGTGCTTTATCTTTTTTTTTCTTTTTCCTTTTTGCCAGTCCTGGAGCTTGAACTCAGGGTCTGAGCACTGTTCCTGAGCTTTTTTTGCTCAAGGCTACACTCTACCACTCAAGCCACTGCACCATTTCTGGCTTTTTCTGTTTATATGATACCGAGGAATCAAACCTAGGGCTTCACACATGCTAGGCAAGTAGCCTACCACTAAGCCACATTCCCAGACCCTGGTGTTTTATCTTTGGATCCATGCCTCCAGTCCATTATTTTGCTGGTTAATTGGAGATGGAGTTAGAGTTTTCTGTCCCATGTAAACAAATCCTCCAATTCTCAGCCTCCTGATTTACTAAGGCTACAAAAGTGAGCCACTAGTACCTGGATATGTAAGTGTTCATATTTATGAGATACAGAATAAAGTTTTAATACAAACACATATTGTGTAATGATCACATAGGTAACTGGCATACCCATTATGGAAAAATTTAAGATGTCTTTGTGTTGGGAACACAAAAGGTCTTCTCTACTAGCTATTTTGAAATGTACAATTAAATACTGTCAACCTCAGTTACCCTACTCCGCTATAGAACAATAAGTTAGTGATCCTATCTGGAGGTTTTGTGTTTTAATTTAAAAGTTCACACATGCTGTCTGAATTCACATTGTTACCACCTCAATTCCTGGAGACCAGAGTCTGACATCAAGGTGGCATCTGAGCTGATGAGTTGATTTCTTCTGGGGGAATGATCTGTTCTGTGCCTCTGCTTCGCATCTGGACTTTGGTGGGAACCTTTGACTTTCTTTGGTTTATAAGCACATCAGTCTGATCTCTGCCTTAGTTTCTCATGGTGTTCTTCCTGTGCACATGCCTGTCTAAATTTTCCCATTATGAGGACACAGGCATCTTGGACTAAGATCCATCTTAATGCCCTTATTCTTAAATTGATCATTTATAAAGACTATATCTAAAGAAGGTCATACAGGTTCTCAGGATACCAACATCTTTTTTTTTTCAGGGATGGGACAATTCAACCTACAACATTCTTGGACCCATAATTCTTGTGACAGCCTTTCTGGTCATGTATAGAAGTCCTCTCTTCTCTCTTGTCAACCCATCTGTTTACTTGTGGGAAACGAGAGAGCACAGCCTTGAAGAGCAGCTGGAGCCCAATTTAGACACCCTCTTTCCAGTCCCAAGAAACCAAAGGAATCATTTTACTGCTCTGAGCTTCTGTTTTTTTCAGTGAGCTAAACCAGCATACGCAGCATATGGTGTCAACCAGAGTTCTGGAGAGGCCAGGTCAATGACTCGTAACCCTGGTGGCAGGTTAAAATCAAGTGAGGGAACTTACAATCTCTTGGTGCCTGGCCCCTACACACCCAGAGATTCTGACTGAATTGGTCTGGGATAGGACCCAGATGCTGGTATTTTTAGACATTCCCTGGTTTATTTTAATGTGCAGGCAGAAATAGGGAACCACTAGAATGGATGGCAGGATTGAAATGGTCATGGAGAGTCCTGATGTGGTTGGAAGTCAGAGGAGAAGAATTTGTAGTTACGTAGCCAGATGGTCCGTGCTGTTGGGATGCCTCATGGCAAAAGCTAGGAAAAACTGAATTAGGTGACCTCGTTTTCCAAGCCACTTCTTGTACTGTGACCTTTTTCTTTTTTTCAGATTTCCCTGAGAAGTAAGTATCTCACTGAGATGCATCCCTGGGACTTCCTTCTTTCCCCTAGCTTAGAAACCTCCATTGGGCGTTCCCAGCTCCTGCTTCTGTGCTCACCATGGCCAGCTCCAGCTCTCTGAAGGAATCCTCATGGGAGACCCTACCTGAGAGGCTGCCTGAATTTGAATAGTGCTCCCACAGAACTCAAATAACTCTCCACCCCCTACATGTAGACCCCAGGACGGGGGACATTCTCTTCCCTCAGGTGTTACTATCAGGGAACTGTCTACTGGATTAAGCATGACTCAAAGCCCCTGTTGTAGCCTGGGAAGTTTTATTTCACAGAATAACTTTCTCCATCCCCATCCCTCTCAGTTAAAGTGATTCTGAAGCAGCTGCGGGAGCCGTGAGTGGCAGGATGGCCATGCTGGCTTTTCCCAGTTTGGGCCAGTTCAGGACACGGCTTTTGGTTGTCAGGCATTTCACTGAGTGACCAGGGCAGCTGTGAGCAGATCGCTTACTCCTTATTGTTTCCACAGCTGCTCTGTCTCTTGGTCACAGACTCTGTTTCTCTAAGTCTCAGCTCTCTTCCAGTACCTCCCCTATCCACCTATTATCAGACTCTATTATTATCATCACTCATCCTTTCTAAACTTCCAGGACCTCCTCAGGTCTTGTGGGGAGAGGGCCAACTTTCATTAAAAATAAGTGAATGAGTGTAAAATGACAATGCTGTATAAATTCATCTTATTATCATGAAGAGGCTAGGAATGTCCATTTGCTCTTCACTGAACTAGTAAAACTATAGTAAATAAAATAAAGGGAATGATCATGTTATTAACCCTGGGATTCTTGGAATGTTGTGTTTGGCTTGGCGCTTTCCTTGTTTCTTGATCTTTTTTCCTCCTTTGGTGGTGACGGAGTTTGAACTCAAGGCCTTGTGCTTGTTAGACACACGTTCTACCACTTGAGCCACCCCATTTCCTCGGTTTAAACTAGAACATGCCACAAGGAGGAACAGACTAATTTTTCTTACAGTAAGCCAGTGGGTCATAGCTCCACTTGGAAAGCAGGCCCTCATTAATTCTGGCTTCTGGAAATGAAGAAATGAAGCCTAGAGAATGGGGATCTACCTCTACTCACCGTGCACACAGCACCTGAATTCAAATCAGTGTTTCAGCTGAGCCAGTATATAGTGCCGCAGGGATTCAGAAGTTAGAATGTGGGGTATTTAAAAAGCAGGAACTCTCTTGTTTGACTGAAATGAGCTCCTGCTGCCACTTTGGGAGGAATTGAAGCAGTTAAGCCTAAATTTCCTGGCAAGCACCAAGGGGAGGTTTTTCCAAAAGGCATTTTGGACTGCCAATGCACAGCCTTTCCATGTCTAATCATGAAAGCAAAGCACTGGACACATGCTGTCTGTTTCCAGCTGGTTGTGTATGTTTTCCTCACACTTGAAGGAAAACGTGCCAAGGTGTGACATTTATGAACCCCACCAACTGGGAGCTGTGCACACACCAATCATCTTGCCTGTGGTGTGGGGAAATGATGAATGGAGCTCTTCTGTCTGAGGAGGAGGAGGGTTACTGTCACCCTGGCGTGCCTCAGCCTTATTTATTACACACCAAAGTATAAAACCACCCAGCTGCCTGCAGTCCTCATCTCCAGCTCTGGCATTTTCCTGAGGAGACCACAGCGCCTAGAGACCCTGTCATCTTCCCAAGGAGGCTCTTTGGCTCTGTTGAGAATCATGCTTCAGAGGCAGTTCGTCTGTTGGCACCTGCTGGCTTTGCTTTTCCTCCCATTTTGCCTGGGTCAAGATGAATACATGGAGGTGAGCAGAAGAGCTAATAACGTGGTGGCGCGAATAGTGCAGAGCCACCAGCAGACTGGCCTTAGCAGCTCCAGGAGGGAGAAAGTGAGAGAGCAGAGCCATCCTAAAACTGGGACTGTGGATAATAACACGTCTACAGACCTAAAACCCCTGAGACCACATGAGCTACCGCACCCCGAGGTAGATGACTTAGCCCAGATCACCCCGTTCTGGGGCCAGGTACTCTGAATTCTCTTCTAAGGATTTCTGTGAAAGCTTGATGATTGTTGTTATTGTTGTTTTAACAGATTCTTTGGATCAATGCTTGGGAGCTGTTTGTTAAGCTGTTTGTGGGTCTCTTTGGGGGTTGCTCTGGGAAACAAGAGGGACTCCCAGTCTCTGGCAGTGTTAAGATAGGGTAGCTATGGCATCTTCTCAGCATAAAGGGGAAACCAGAGACCACTTCTTGCTACTCTGGAAACTGATTTTGTTCTTGCTCTGAAATGCCGACTTATGCAGATAGGTATGTGGCTGTAGATAATACTATGCTCAGTCATGAAGAGAAACCAACTTTCTCTTCACAACATGGAGAAGTTACCCTCTAAATTTACAAAAAAAAGAGTTATTTTTGATTTGTGACTTTTCTGTAATGTTTCATGCTGTTTTATTTATTTGATTTATAGTATCCTAGATGGCTGATATCTATGCTCAGTTTTTAAAAACAGAATCAAAGAGGGCTTTTGGATTTTTTTAAAAGATTGCATATTTAAACTGCAAACTATATGGTATAATTCAATGTCCAGTGATCTTAATGGACTGGATTTATTTCTGTGGGCATCAGTTCAACATCTAAGGAAATACCAATAACTCATTTAGAGTAGTGCAGGAGAGAGTTAAGGACTTGGTTTAGTGAATGGCAGATCAGTGAAGCTGAATTTAATTTTGAATACTACAAACAAGTAGAAATAGATTTTGACTTATTTCTTAAGAAATCAGATGAGGTGGAGGAATACAAGGAAGAAGAATTACTTGGAATTATATCATCTTTGAACCAGTAGCCTTTGCAGGAACTCAAGAACTCATGACTTCTATGCATTAAAGGCCCTATTCTTTCTCATATGGTTGAAATCTAAACCTGCCCTACCACAGATTGAGAAATCTGGATTATCGATTTATGTGATCAGGTCAGGATCACACATAGAATCAACTGCTGGGCTAGGAAGACAGGAAACTCATAACTGAACTATAACACCCAATTTCCCAAAATTTTCTGTGGGGCTGTGTTAAGGGGGAAAAAGAGAAGAAACACAATGATAACAGATTAAATAGAATTTCACTTTTAAGAAATAGTTATTGCCTTGGACAGTCTTCTGGCTGAAAGGTAATTAATGCTAATTTGTGTTTTCCTTATTAGTGAAGACATTGCGATTCTTGTCCTGGTCTTGATCTGGAATTTCCATTTCAATACAAGATTTCCTTCTTGGTTGTAAGCACCCAGACAAAGCAGAAAGCCTATATGTTGTCTTTGTTAGTTGTTTCACGGCAACCAATACCCAGCATGCCATTGAAATCCAAATTACATTTCTATTCTGCCTCATTTTCTAATCCTCAGTTTCTGAATTAGTTCCAAAGTCCCTGTAAGATGTACTCAGGAAATTTAGAGCCACTGCTGTCCCTGAAGCTTTCAATACACTTTCTCTCCTAATGATTATAGGCACAGACACTGAATGTCAGGGTTCTTCTACATTCTTCCTTCTTTTCCTCCTCCCCATCCTCCTCCTTTACGTTAGTTTTTCTTGTTCCACATTCTTGGCTTATACTTTGTACCAAGCTTTTAGAATGGGGATCAAGAATATAAATATACACAACCTTCTATCTTTAGGGCTGTAGTGGAGATAATTGCTAATTTAATTAAGTATAATTAAATATGATATGATAATCAAGATTCATGTAGAGGAGGCAGCTGAGAAAAAAAAATAGAGTAGTTAGAGTAGTTTTGACCAAAGCTACAGTAACCAAAAACTACCAAATCTTAAAAGATGTGGCATGAAAGGTGTTTATTATAGCAGAGATTAAAAAGAAATGTCAGAGCCGAGATTAGAGAGGATCTGAGGATCTGGGTGTGGCTGGGCTCAGAACTGTGGAGGGAGAAATCAGATGTGAGTGTCAGACAGGAAAAGTTTCCCTTGCCTTGTCAAAGAGCTTAAATTTTACATTGTTTCCAGTGTTTTCTTTGTCTTTCACTGCAGAGAAGATGGCTGTGAAGTTCATGGTGGATCAGACTAACATACTGATCAATATTCTCTTTTCTATAGCCTCTCTGTCAATCTCATTGATCAGTCTCTTAGTTATCAGTCTCCTGATTACTTACTTCTCTCCCGTCTCCCTTCTCTCTCTCTCTCCTCTCTTCCTCCCTCCCTCCCTTTCTCCCTCCCTCCCTCCCTCCCTTCCTTCCTCTTTCTATCTTCTTTGTGTTGGAGAAGGAATGACAAACGAACTCCCTTTTCTTGAAGCCAATAATAGTAGAATTGGGTTCTGAGTAACTGCCTCCAGGCCCCCATCTGTAAAATACCCCAGTGAGATACCCCTTTCCTCTCATGTTCATCATTGGTATGCCTTGAGTGAACAATTTCTACCTGATTTGGGAAAGGGGATAGTAAATGTGAGAGCGGCACAGATACCCATATGTTAAAACTTCAGAATCAACACATAGTGTGAAACCTGTATGAAACTTGTCTAGCAAAGCCTTACTAGAATTGTTCTACTGGACCGAACTTTGAAAGAGAAGGTCAGAAGGAGGACCATGTAAGGAAAATGACGCAGGAGTTTTCTTGGGAGGTGCTCAACTAGGATAACCAGAGGTTTCTCACTGTATTGGTGACAGCTCTTTATGCCTTGAAGTGGTTCCAAGTAGTTTGCACATGCACCACAAGGATTTGGTAACTTTAGTCACAAACACATTTGTCTCTTGGTGATAAGGCACACACACACACTCTCTCTCGCTCTCTCTCTCCCTCCCCCCTCTCTCTATATATAGTTGGGTGCTAATGGCTCAGACCCATAATCCTAGCTACTCATGAGACAGATTTGAGGATCTAAACCAGTCTGTACACAAAAGTCCATGAGACTCTCATCTCCAATTAACCAGCAAAAGGCTGGACATAGAGCTTTGGCTCAAGGAGTAGAGTGTTAGCCTTGAGTAAAAAAGCCACATGAGAATGTATGTCCTGAGTTCAAGCCCCAGTAGAGTACGCGCGCGTGCACGTGCGCACACACCCACACCCACACACACACACCATTTAAATTTCTTTTTTGAGGTTTTCTTCACATTTTAGAGGTGGGAGGCAAAAAATCATGACTGTCCCTTCTAATTGTGTAATTTAGTAAACAAGATGACTGGTGTCTGGGAACAGTGGAGACTTCTCTCAGGTCACGCAAAACTGAGAATGGGAACTCAGTTCCAGGCCAGTGGTGGTTGTTACACCCTTAAGCATCTCAGTGTTTCCATACTTTCTTACACAAGTGGTTCCACTTTAGGATTTTCTTCCCTTCCCCTCCCTTCACTGTCTTCACCATCCATCACTGGCAAAGCTCTAGGCTTCCTGGGGTTTAAAAGCTGTATTTTGCATTAACAAAACCAAACCAGGAAATGATGAACATATATCTTGATTTAGAAAGCAGAGTCATGGTGTTTTTTCATTTTCCAACTGTCCTGAAATTCCTCATCTCTGACCAAGTGCTTTACTTGCATTTCTTCCCTCTACCAATTTGAGGAAAAGATTTTTTATAGACTCTATAGCCATTCAAGGTTGAGCTTGGTAGACAGAAGACAAGACTAGGAGCGAGTTAAACTTACAGTTGTGACTCCCTAGTACTTGGGTTCTGAGCTAAGGCAGCAGGATATTAAACCACAGTTTTTTTTCTATACTCTTTTTTGTCAGTTCTGCATCTTTGAACTCAGGGCCTGGGCACTGTCCTTGAGCTTCTTTTGCTCAAGTCTACCACACTATCACTTGAGCCACAGTGCCATTTCCAGCTTTTTCTGTTTATGTGGTACTGAGGAATCCTACCCAAAGCTTCAGGCATACTAGGCAAGCACTCTGCCACAAAGCTACATTCCTAGCCTCATATATATATATATATATATATATATATATATATATATATATTTAAATAGTTCGTGAAAAACTTTAGGAAAAAGGGATGAAAAAGGCTAGACTCATTTGTATTTTAAAAATAAATAAACAAGCCGAGTGCCAGGGGCTCACACCTGTAATCCTAGCTACTCAAGACGCTGAGATCTGAGGGTTGCAGTTCAAAGCCAGCCCGGGCAGAAAAAGGCCGTAAGACTCTTATCTCCAATAAACTATTCAGAAAGCTGGAAGTGGTGCCGTGTCTCAAATGGTAGAGCACTAGCCTTGAGCTAAAAAGCTGAGGGACAGTACCCAAGTCCAGAGTTCAAGCCCCACTACCAACAAAAGAACAAACAAACCGACAAATAAATAAATACAAAAGGGCAGGGTAGAGCCCAGGGGAGGCGTAGACAAAAAGAAAGAATGAAGTAAAATATTCAATGCCTAGCCTACAAAATTAAGAAAAGTGAGGGAAGGGGTGGCTGGAGGGGTGGGTGAGACTGTTACAAGGGTGATATTGATCAAGATGTACTGTGTTCATAAACTGTTTTGTTGAATGGCATTGCCTTTGTACAATTACTTAAAGATAGTAAAAAATATTAAAAAATAAACAAAAGATTCAAATGTTCAACAACATGAAGCCTTCATTTAGTTTTCTGTTTGGGTTTCTAGTGATGGAGAAAACTTGAATTTTAAATTCTTTTCCCTCCTCTCCTTCCCTCTTTTTCCTTCTCCTTTCCTCTCTCTCCTCCATCTTCCTCTTTCCTTCTTTCCTTCTCTCCCCCCTCTTTCATCTCTTTTTTTATCCATCTCTCCTCCTTTCTTTTGAGAAATGAATCCCTTAGCAACAGTACTTTGTTTTCAGAAGACTGTTGAGTTATAACTAGTGTCTAGGAAAGTTTCCACAAGAATTTCATATGACATAATTAAAGGCCTGTTGCCAGTTTATATGAGAGTCCAGATTTTACAAGCAACTCTAACTCCTCTGCCAACCAGCTTCCACCAGATTGCTAGCTCCTTCGCAGCAAGAATTCACTTTGGCAATCTGTCTTTGTATAAATGATCATTCTATATGGTGTCTTATTTGAGAACATATTTAGTAGCCATTCAGTTGTCATTATGTGATTATCAAGTAGCACGATAGTTACTTTACAGTTTAAAGTCGAGTATGTGAAACATCAAAAATACTTGTAAAGAAGAAGTGAAAATTATTCTAAGTGGAGGCAATAAAAGTGTATTGGACGTACAGTTCATAACAGTGTATTGTATTCTTGAAAGTTGCCAAGTAGATTTTTGATATACCTAACACAGGGAAATGTAGGTGTGGCAATGCACCTGTCCATTAGCTCTCAGAACTATGGGTTGAATATAATCATGTATAATTTTAATTTCAGTATAGGCAAATAAATAATTGTATATGACTAAAGAACAACTCTTTAATTTTAGTCCAAGCAGGTTATGGCTATTTGATGAAATAGACATAATTAAGTTTCTATCCAGTTCTTCAGCCAGAATTAGGAATAGTGTGGAGTAGCTTTGTTTGCAGGCAATAGTCTTGTAATTTGAGGCTCATCTAAGTCTGGCTACATTTATCCGGTATTGGGAGAGGGAAAAGAGTTTCCAAGTTATCTTCAGGAGTTTCTGCCTCTTCTGTTATAGGTAGAGACAAAAAGGCACAGTCCAGAGGCACACCCCGTCTTCCCCCCCTACCCCTTCACCCCCACCTGAAGGTGCATGCTCTACAGTTCACTTCCTTCTGCCATTTTCCTTGATGATCCACTCAGCTACTCCCTGATCCTTATGCCACAGATATTGCCTTCATACCTACATGATCTTTTCTGATTTGGTTGTGTGATCTTTTTTGATTTGGAGGTATTGATATGAAACTTGCCTAAGGGTCAAGGCCAGAGGGAAAAGAGTATTAATAGCTCACAAGTGCCCTTCCATGAAGCTTCTCTTTCTATTTTTCTTCAGCCCCCACAAACTGGAGGGATGGCCCCAGATTGCAGCAAGTGTTGTCATGGAGACTATGGCTTCCGTGGGTACCAAGGCCCCCCTGGGCCTCCCGGACCTCCAGGTATTCCAGGTAAGGATGAACAAGATGCATTGCTGACCGAATACAGACTGTACAAGCAAAAGAGGCCAACAGCAAATAACTTGGAATGAATAAATAATTTGCAATCTTCTGTATATGATCCAAAGATATGCACAGAAAGCAAAAAAGGGAAGCATTGCCAAGTTCATACCTGCAATCCTAGCCATTCAGGAGACTGAGATCTTAGGATCATAGTTCAAAGCCAGGCTTTGCAGAAAAATCCAAGAGACTCTTATCTCCAATTAACAAGAAAAAAAAGTGGAGGTATGACTCAAGTGGTAGAGCAACAACCGGTGAAAAAACCCAGCATGAGCAAGAAGGCCCAAGTTTAAGTTCCAGAACCAGCACAAGCAAAAGGATTGTGTAGGGAAACCTCGTTTATTAGGTCAGCTTAAGTTTAATAGTATACATCCAACAGTAATTATTCTTTGTGCTATTTAAAGAATCCACAAAGCTTCACCCTGTTATACCAGACTCATACTGAACATTGACTGAAGAACTATTACCTCTTAATTGAGTCCTACACTTTTAGTTATTTACTTGTTTCCTTCAGTGTTACTGGAGTTTGAACTCAGGGCCTTGAACTTACTATGCAGGTGCTCTACTACTTGAGCAATGCCCTCACCTCATTTTGGGTATTGTTTAGCTAGGATCTCAAGCTTACACCTTGGCCAGCCTGGAGTAACTCTTTTCAATGCATGCCCCCAGGGATCTATAATGCCTCACTAGACCCCACTTCTTAAAGTTTCTACCACCTTCCCCAACAGTGCTATCCTGGGGAGCAAGCATTTAGTACATGGGCCTATGGAGGAACATTCATCTTAACAGTAGCAGCCGGTATTTCTGCCACAGTATGCCTCAACCACAGTCTAACTTTCAGGAGATTTATAAAGAATCAGGTAGTGGGAAAGCTTATTGGGCTGGATGATAGTTATCTCTCTGCTGCACACATTTCAGTGCCATTGTAGGCATAGCTAAGTCTTCCCACCCCCAGTCTCAACTGATTCTCTGTTGGTTTTCATACCTGGGTTCCTGGGTTCCAGCATGAAGAATGCTGCAGAGTTCTTCAGGACCCCTGGGATATGTGATACTTCCATTGGTATACTACTCTGGTTTCTCAGGTCCAGGGGAATTCTGGGATATTGCTAATACACTGGGTTGGCTGAGGGAGGGGCATGCTAGCCACCTCTTTCTCAGGAGCCTCTCCCCCAAACTATCCAGGGTTTTATTGCTCTTCTTTTTTCAAGTCAATTACTGAGAACAGGACTTCTTGTCAGGCTTCAGCCAAAGGCCACTTGCTCTTGCCTGAATTCCCTTCATGGATGTTAATGTTTCTCAACTTTGGTTTACTTTTTCATTCTTTTGGAAGGCTTCTGTGAATTCAAGTTCAGGTTTAAAACCTTGATTACTGGTATGGATTGGATGCCATTGCCCACTAAGGGCAGCAGTCCACAGGAGCAGGGACGGTGGTGGTAAGAGTATCAAGCCTTTCTGAAATCTCAGGTACAAAGAGATCTGAGGTGATAGGACAGGCTGGCCTTGGTTAAATCTTTTACAGATCACATTTTTCCTGTACATGGACAAAGGTCATCTCCTTACAATGACTGCAGGCTTCATAGAATGCCTGATCAAAGGTAACATGCAAAATAAACAGAGAAATGGTCTACAGCAAGAGCTGTAGAACTTCTCAGTGGCAAAGTGAAGCACTGAAATCATTACTTAAGTCTTTCTTTCAAAACTATTACATTTTATCAGTGAGTTTAATTTTATTCCCATTATAAAAGTGATATATTATCTTTGGTAGAGAACATGAAAGGGAAGGAAAACCAAACAGAATGACACGGAAATCACTTGTTTCATCTTCTGGAAAGAAAACTATAAATATTTTTACATAATTCATTCAACACAGTTTCCACTGAGGATATAAAATGTATATAATTCACATTATATTTACTCTGTATATGTGTATATGTAAGTATATGTGTGTGCATTCATGTAGTTCCAAAATAAACTGGCATTTATGCCATTCCTATTTTTTCATACCTTCTCTTATCTACAAACATCATAGATATCAATATACCATTAAGTGCTTTTCCCAGCACTCTTTTTCTTATTACCATATAATATCATTTACTAAGATATTTAGTCCTTCTAATATTGGTGGTAATTTCATCATTTCTCATCTTTGCTATTTAAATAGCAAAATGGTCTTCCACACCATTTTTCATGTAAGATTATTTAGTAGAAAAAAAAAACAGGTCGTCAAGCCTTAAGTTTTCTAAGGTTGTTTTACTGCTCAGTAAAAAGGACCCAATGATGATGCCCCCTTGTATTTGTGATTCTTTCAAATGGTCCCCTTTTACAATTGTACACACACACACACACACACACACACACACACATACACACACACACACAGTACTACAGTTTGAACTCAGGACCTTGTACTTGCTAGGCAAGCAGTCTACTACGTGAATCACACCCCCAGACCATTTTGCCATAGTTTATTTTTCAGCTAGGGTCTCACACTTTTGCAAGGCTGACCTAGGGTCTTTTCTACTTCCCAGAGAGCTGGTATTATAGGTATACTCTACCACAAATTGCTGCATTTGGATATTTTTCAGAGAATGGCTGTGATTCTCTAAAAGTAGATGGTAAGTACTAGTGACTAGATTTGCTCATATGAAGAATATCTTGTTTAAGGTAACCATGGAAACAATGGAAATAATGGAGCCACTGGCCATGAAGGAGCCAAAGGTGAGAAAGGAGACAAAGGTGACCTGGGACCTCGAGGTGAGCGGGGACAACATGGCCCCAAAGGAGAGAAGGGCTACCCTGGAATTCCACCAGAACTGCAGGTAATCTGTTCTCTTTCTGCACATTTCCAAATGGCAACTAAACTTTCTTGATTTCTAGAGACCAGGAAGCAGAAAGTCTGAATGCTTCAAGCCTTCATAGATTAATCTCAAGAAATCTGGGTCTCAATGTGTTCATCTACATTGTGGGTTATTTGTTTTTTGTTTTTTTTTTGTTTTTTTCTGGGTCCGGTGGTGGGGCTTGAACTCTGGGCCTGGGCACTGTCCCTCAGCTCTTCAGCTCAAGGCTAGCGCTCTACCACTTGAGTCACAGCTCCACTTCCGGGTTTTTTCTTTTTGCTTATGTGGTGCTGAGGAATCGAACCCAGGGCCTCAGGCATGCAAAGCAAGCGCTCTACCACTGAACCAACTTCCCAGCCCTGCGGGTTATTTGTACAAGGTCTATACTGATCGCCCTTAGAGAAGAGAGTAATTCATGAAGAGCAAAATCCAACTTAGTCATATTACCAAATATAATCTGACCTCAACTATAAGCTCTTAGGCTATTTTCCAGACAAGATAGTCTGAACAAAAACACTGACCACATTGAATATATTAACTTTCAGACATATAAATTGAGTGGCTAAATGTTTACTTATATTATTTATGATTTCACCACAATTACCTGTTTGAATTACATAATGGAGATATATATATATATATATATATATATATATATATAGTTTTCTATCTATGCAGATTTTCTAGTTCAAGTTTATTGAAACCTACCATCAGAATCTTCTTCTCACTTGGAAAATATTTTTTGGAGTCATCCACTCAGTTTTTCAGAAGATATCATTTCAATTGAAATGTTTTTGAATCCATTTATGAGGTTTCAGTTCTATATTTTACCCCAAGCTGAAATGTCATTTATCTATTCTTTTAACAAACCTTTAAAATTCTGGTTGCAATATCCAAGACTAATAAATATGAATTTAGTCACCAAGAAAAATTAAGTCTGGGCAATTGTTTTGATAATATTTAAACTTGCTCGGCCCCATTTGTTAGGAAATGGAAAGACTTGGAAAAAAATTATATAAGTGAAGTAAGCCAGGCCCAAAGAAACATAGGTCCCATGGTTTCTCTTATTTGCAATAACTAGTATATGTCTGAGACAAGTAGAAATGGTCAGATAAGTTGATGTTAGGCGAAATGAACCCCAAGATAAGGACTTGATGTTAGGCAAAATGAATCCCAAGATAAGGACTCAAATGTTTTTTTCTTTCTTGCTATTGTTTCTAACATATTTATAAGATATTTCTTTGTTGCTTTATATGTCCCTCCCCCGGTATAACCCCTGTTTTCACTGTATTTGATGTTGGTATTTGTGGAGGGGAAGGAAAAAACCAATTGTTTAAATAGGGATACAGGTGGACCCATTGCAACAATGAGATGTATAAGATGTTATGTCGAAAAACACACTTTACAACTTTGGCGCAGGGGGTGGTGGGTGAGGGGGGTGGGAGGGTTGGTGGGGAGATGGGAAGGGATGGGAAGGGGAAACAAAGGAGGCGGCAACAACGCTTTATAAGAAATGTAGTCATTACCTGGCTCATGTGATTGTAACCCCTCTGTATAGTATTTTCACAATAAAAATATTTAAACTTAATGCTATAGATATTGAAAGGTAGCATATTTTTTGTTGTTGTTAAGGTTGTTTCTAGCTAGTATTTCTTTCAGGAAGAGTAGTTTTGGGTTAAAGTATCTGGGAAAATCCTGTAACATCAGAAATTTACAGATAAGTTAATAAAACAATTCCTACCTGTAAGAGCAGTTAGCCAATCTGCCTTTTGCTTGGCATATATGAAGATTTATTTTGTGTATGAAACAGTACTTGGTCTTGCAATGCCTTTTGATTTTACTCAAGGCTTGCACTCTACCTCTTGAAACACACCATTGGCCCAGTATTTTGCTGATTCATTAAAGATAAGAATCTCTTGGACTCTTCTGCCTTACCTGGCTTCAAATAATGATCCTCAGATTTTAGCCTCCTGAGGAGCTGGGACTATAGGCTTATAAAATAAATTGTCCTGTGCTGTACTTTAACTTGTTTATAATTTTTAATGCTTAGTAGATTCAGTAATTTAGGATCCATTTGGCAATATAAATTTACAAAAAGGAAGAAGAAAGGGAAAGAAAGAGGAAGGGAGAGAGGGAAAAAGAGAGAGTAAGAGTAGGGCTTAGTGGTAGAGCGTTTGCCTTGCATGCATGAGATCCTGGGTTTGATTCCTCAGCACCACATAAGCAAAAAGAAAAAAGCCAGAAGTGGCGCTATGGCTCAAGTGGTAGAGTGCTAGCCTTGAGCT